CTATCCACACCCTGGGGCCAGCTGAAGAGTGACCCCCAGAATATCCAGGTCCCAACCTCTGGAACTGCATGTGGCAAAAGGCACTTTACAGACAAACCTGTGGGGGGCAGGGGTCAGCAGCCCAGGCGCCCAGCCTCTTAGGTGCCAGCCACGGTGGCCGTCCCACACACGAGGACGGCTGCGTACAGGCACGCGCGTCGTCACGTCGGAAGACACACAGCTTCTAGCAAAACCACGCCCTCCATGCTGAGGACGGAGACCCCGGCAAGGTCACAGATCTGCCTCGCCCACCCACGGACGGGCTTCCGACCCTTCTGGAAGATGACCGGCTCACGTCAACTACCCCCAGGGCCCAGCCGCGCCCCAAAACACTAGCACCCACGGCCACCGTGGGAGATCAGGGATTTGGGCCGGGCACCCTCTGCTACCCCTGCAGCCCCCAGGGCCTGAAAGGGCGCTTGTTTCTACCACCGTAGTTAAAAAGCCACCAATACCCCGAACAGCCACGCAGCCCCTGAAGTACAGGGGATCGTCCTCAGCTTTAAAAGAGACGCGCGTCTGACTTAGAAGCTCGGTCACGTCAGGGATGCAGCAGGGCCCGCGGGGCAGACACGACAGATTCCGCTTGTGTAAGAATCACGGGCTCCGTCCTCAGACGCGACTTACACCCGTGTCTCCGAGCGCCGCTAAGCCTGCTCGCCTGCAGTGCGGGTGACTTCTGTGCTTATCTGAACTAATTCCGCCACGAGGAACACGCATTCGTGACTTCTGGAACGCCAAACACGACCACAAGCCTGCCCGAGTCTCTGCGGCTCGAGACCCCCTCCTCCCCTCGCCCGTGTTTTGCCACCTCCCGACGCGCGCGCACGGCTCCCCTGAGGGAGCGGGCGGCTGGGAGACCCGCTCCGGACCCCGGGTTGCTCCTCCCCACGCTCAGGCCAGGGCCCTACGAACAGAGACGTGGCCACAAAGCACAGCCCGCAGCCCGCCGCAGCACGCACACACGCACGCACACACGCGCTCTGCTGGGACAGTCCAGAGAGGACCCGGGACACGGTGAGCAGAGAAGCCCGCTGAGTCACGGCTCCGAGGCCGTGCCCGTCCCAACAGTCCACCTGGCATTGCTCGGGCCGCAGCCCCTGCCACTGTGACACCAGTGACCCCCCAGGCGGGAGGGAGACCGCTTGCAGACCGCTTGGGGACCGCCTGGACAGTACCCTTGAGAGGGAGGTGCCTTCAGCCAGAGCGGCCTGAAACTTGGTCCCGAGTTCCGGCACCGTCCTTGACCCGAGGGAAGAGAGGGCCAGAGACGCCATCATTTTGGACACCACGTGCTTGGACCACCCCTCGCACAACCAGCTAGCGCTGGCCTGTGGGCTGGGTTTAGGGGAACAGGTGTCTGGAT